CCACAGAGGGCCACTTGCTGCAGTCTGACTGTAGGCCTGTATGTTCTAGTCTAGAGGTCTGGGCTGTGAAATAGTAGAGGTGGGTCAAGAAGGTAGCACAGATTCTAGTATCTGCCCTTCTTTCCTCGTACCAGTTATGGCAAAGAAACAAGACTCTGCGCAATACAACCAAGAGCATAACCTTTCACTGCAGATTAATTAATCTGGAACACCTACCTTCCATACAGTGGTGCAGCTTGAGATGGAACTTGGAGCCAACGGTCAGGGCCCCATAACTCATGGCCTCCCTAGATGAGTACTTAGAGAATGGCAGGTGATCAGAACAGCAGAAACAATCTCATTTTTATTCCTGTAGTCATGGTGGTGCTATGATTGATGTGTGTTTAAAATGCAAAAATGCACATGCATGGGGTATGATTATGTTTTAAATCAGGGTTGGCAAACAGTTTTGTGGTTACCGTTTAACATACCAGGAACATAGAGGCAGTTGTAAAGCAAGGAAAGGCAATTGAGGGGGCATAACTGAATGCACTTGGCAGTCTGGAGCCCACCCCCCATTAAACGATTAGGTCTGGGGCAGAGAAGTACTTAGCTGCACCACTGCTGCCATGTCCTTAAACTACAAGAAGATGGATTAGAATCCACATTCTCTCCCCCAGTCCTGCTACCACCACAAGTTTACATGGAAAGTCGGAAGCAATCTGTTCCTTTCCTGCTCGTATAACTCTGGCTGCAGGTAGGGCAGGGAATTCAAAGTAGGCTAGGGTTAACTACCTCACATCTGGTGCTGTTAAGCAGCTGCTCCTGATTTCTATCTCCATCTCCACAGGAGGTTCACAAAAGTTCTTTCTGGGCTTCTGTTGCCCAGACGTTGCTGCCCCATGTAGATGCATTGTCAGGGCATAAGAGCATAAGAAGAGCCTTGCTTGATCAGCCAGGGGGTTATGCTTCCCCACCCCTGCCCCAGGTATTCAGTGGCACTACTTCTGAATATGGAGGCTCTATTTATTACATTTAACAATTTATTACTTGTAATTACTTACATAATTATTATAATTTAGGTTCCAAGAATTACTTTTGAATATGGAGGCTCTATTTAGCCATCATGGTGGTATTGTTTTAGAGGCACCCTTTAACAATGCCAGACAGGTGTGCCCCTGGATCATTTGCCAAGTTGCAAAAGATGCTGTGGTGAAACTCTTTGATTACATGCTGCTTCATTGGTGCCTCTAAAATATTGCATCAGTTGTACCAGCTCTGCCTAGAGCAAAAATAAATTATTTTCAGGTGGGGCCATTCCTTGCCTATTTCAAAGTCTTGGGGAATGCAGAATTTAGTTACCCTGGGCTCCTGACCAGTCTCTGCAGTTTTTCCCTCTCAGTCTATCTTGGGTCCTAGTTGAGGCTTGTTGCAGTTACACCTCCCAGGGGCTGATGGTGCTGTGCTGCTGTTGAAGAATTATTGAGAGAGGAAAGGGCAGGGAACTGTAAGCAGAAAGATGTGGGGGCGTGGTGAAAATGGCTGCTAGTGAGGGGAATTGGTGGTGGGGGTAGTAAAGAGTCAGAGGCCTCACCCCATGAGGGTATGTGAGCTGGGCTGAACATCTGAAGGGGCACTGCTAACATTGAAGAGAGGGTGTTGATATTTGGGTAAGGACCTCATCGGCAGAAAGGCTTCTTGATTGTGTTGGCAGATGTGTAGGTAAAATATTTTGTGACAGGATGGTTGATTTACTTCAGTTTCCCTTGTGGGGGAAAATGTAGTTACATGCCCGTAATTAGACAGCTACTACTAAACTACTCCTGCTATTCAGCTCCAGCAACGTAGACAACAGCGAGTAAAACAACAACAGGGCAATGCTGCTTGGGTGGCTGTGTCCAAAGTTGCATTCAACACAACCACTCAAGCAGCATTGCCCTGTTGTTGTTTTACTCACTGTTGTCTACGAGTAAATCAGGAAGAAATGTTAAACCTCAGACTGGCACAGAAGGGTTTTTGTGTGTTTCTGTTTCCCCTGGAACAAGATTTACATAGGAATGTTCAGCCAGTCACACTGCACTAGAGTACCACTCCAAGCATTTCTGGATATTCATAGACTCTGGACAGGATAACAGTGACTGGGGACAAATGTAATGCAAATGGGCATTCCCCTTTGGAACGATAGCTGCAACTCAGCTTTCCCACCCTTGGTTCCCCCACTCTAACCACAGCAATCCATGTGGCTGCAGTTGCCCCTTTGCATGCTGCCCCTAGCCACAGTTAGACTAGAGTTACTGTTGATTCATTACTTGTGATTATTATTATCAATAATAATTTTAAAATTAGCATTCATGTTGTTATTACTCAAATGCTGAGAGCAGGAACATCTGAACCCACCATTCATTTTCCTTTTCCAGGTTATTTGTGTGCTTGAAATCTGTTGGCTGGAGTGGTTCAGAGGGAGGTTCAGATATCGCTACCTACTGAGAAGCTGACAGATGCTCTGGTCTATTTATATTCTAAATTGACAAAAATCCTCCAAATTATCTATCAAAGCTCAACCTACAAAAACACAGAAATGCAAGCAAATATTATTGGCAGTTCTGAAGAGAGGGAGAGAGGTTTCTACAGGCTGATTCGATTATTAGGAGCCAGCATTAAATTTATAGATACAAGCTCTGTGTTAGATAAATAAATATTTTCAGTTGCAAAATGTGAGCATCAAATATCTACATGCTTTAGCAAGCAAGTGTTTTGGGCTGTTTCTCCCCCTAAATCCTATCATTGCTGCATAAATATCTGTGGTTCATGTACACTTTATGTGCAAGATCAGAATGTTACATGGTATTGTTTTGTTGCCACTCTGTACTGTAGGTATCACAACAATTCTGACTTACCATTTAAGCAATTGTCTTTTTTTTCCTGTTTCCTCTGACTAGTTATGTGTCTCTGCAAAATTTGCATTTGTTTTAAATCTCTGTCTAGAAATGCTAAATGTGATACCTAACTGTAGGTATTGTTAGGTACCTAACAATTCCTAACTTTAGGAATTGTTGTGATACCTAACTGTAGGTATCACAACAATTCTGACTTACCATTTAAGCAATTGTTTTTTTCCCTGTTTCCTCTGACTAGTTATGTGTCTCTGCAAAATTTGCATTTGTTTTAAATCTCTGTCTAGAAATGCCAAATGTGAGTGCAGAAGTTACCAAGTTATGGTGTTTGTGATGACATTGGCAATACCACGCAAAAAGTGAAACCTGTGCCATAAGTAAGCACTATAAATCACTTATGTCTGTTGATTCCCAGTGCTTATTACTCAGTCTATCTTGCTGTACTGGGAGTTCTGAAGAAGAATGTGTGTGGCAACATTATGAAATTCTTTTCCCAATTATTTTAAGAGTGAGTGAGTGAGTGAGTGAGTGAGTGAGTGAGTGAGTGTGTGTGTGTGTGAGAGAGAGAGAGAGAGACAGACAGACAGACAGACAGACAGAGAGAGAGAGAGAGTTTTAAAACTAATTTTTCTTTGTGACTTTTGATCATTCATAGTTAACTCACCGAATTTGAACTAGCTCGTGACTGATGAAAGTGTGTGATCCTCTCTTCCCTTCTACGTTCAGAGCATAGTAGAGATTGTCCACACCCTGCTGTTTCCCTTCCCTAAGTTCTCTTCCTCCCTGTCACCTTTTCCCGTGGCAGAAAACAATTTCAAGGTGCAATGTATGCTTTATCGAACACTGGTATTACATTGAGATTTTTGATGTGGGAAATGCAAAAAAAAAAAGGGGGGGGGGAGAGAAAGCAGTCTATGCATTTTACGATCAAATCCAAAGATATGCCCTGTTCATTTGTAATTAGCTGAATACTGCTGTCTAAAAGTGATAATGGTTAGTGCAGATTAGAAAGCAGCATATTTTTGGAAGCCCCATGGCACTGACCTTTGTACAACAATTCTGCATTGTGTTAGTGCTTAAGGAGATAAAGGATGGTCATGGCAGCTGGGCACAGGGCATCTGTGGACTGGACCCTTAATGAATGGTTGACTTGAATTTGGTGTAAATTGATTAGAAAACAAGGGTGGTAATGATGTAAGGAGAAAAGTACAGAGGAAGTATTATTCTTTATATAAGGTTTTTCTTGGTGTTTCCTTGGGAAAATGGATCAAGCTAATACATGAACACCTACAGTGAGAAGCCGCCTAGCCTACATGCTACCCTGCTTCCTTCCTCTTCCTTTCTGGTGTTCATACAGAAGTGTGCATGTACCTCAGAACATTCTCAATTTTTTGGAATGAAATACCAGTGCTTATCCTTCTTACCTATCAAACCTCTGTGCCCTTCACAAGGCTCTAGTCCTCAAAACACTTCCCCTCCATCTTAGTTTAGGTTATTGCTTCTTTGATAGACTTCTAGACCCCTCTCCTGCTCAGCTTGTTCACATCTGTTTGGATCCTTAAGACACTTAGTTCTGAGCAATGGTTTAGTTAAGTGGGTAAGTTGGGACTTGAAGCAAACAACAGGCTTTCAACCTCAGCTGACCCAGCCTTCATCCCTCCTTGCTATGGGAAGACAATAACTGGGCTTCTTAATGGAATTGCATGTGGAGAGGAAGGCTCACATGGGAGGCGATGCGTCTTGAAAACTGCCTGGTCGCTGAATCAAAGCAAATGTTCAACTAGATAGCCCTGCAAATTCCAGAAGTGGTACATGATGGAGATAGTCATCCTGTGTTTATCCTTAGTATCTGGTAAACATTGGTTTCCTATAGCAAACCTTGAATTTAGGCACATGCTGGTGGCCATAGGTAGCCATGAATTGCATGCATTTGAGTGCATGGCATTCCATGCAAGCTGGGCAAGGAGTGCTGGAGCACTCTGTCTCTCTTTGGTCAGCACAGAGATGCACCTCTGCCTCTCTTCTCTGTCAGTTCCCATCATGGTAGTAAATTGCTTTGGAGCTAGGAACCTTCATGTGCCTATCTGTAAGGGCAAAATCTCCTTTCTCCTACAGTTCCTCCATGCCCACCCAACTCTGTGCAGCAGATCTTTAAGAGATGGGGCTTTCAGGAGAAGAGAGGACATCCGCTGTCCTTCCCTTTGCCTCTGATGGAGGCTGCTCCAGCAGGAAGAGTTTATTCAACATTACTGGTACAGTGAACTCATTCTCTGAGTGTAGATTCTTATGTAGGCAAAGCAGCACCATCTATACACCAGAGGGAGATATAATCAGGCTTGGGGAATTCTGAGGTTAGTGGGAACATTAAAAAAAAAGGGGGGGGAATGCAGGGGAGGGTTCCAAGCAGCACTCTGTGCATAGAGCATGCTGAGTGGGCACCGAACACTGTCTGACTGTTGTGGGTAAGCAGATGGGAATGGAAAAGGAGGAGAGAGAATGGAATGGAGTATCCTAGAAGAGAGTATGGTTGGCAGGCTGGAACATTCCACCTTTGACTGCAGGTCCCAAGACAGGGACTCAAGAGTTCTGGGTTCTGGTCCCCACTCAGCCATGGAGCTCATTGGATGACTTTGGGTCAGTCAGAGACTCCTAGCCCAACCTCACAGTTTTGTTGATGTAGAACAAGATTGATAGGAGGAGGAGAATTATGCAAGCTGCCTTTGTTGTTGTTAGTCGCAAAGTCGTGTCTGACCCATTGCGACCCATGGACAACATTCTTCCAGGCCTTCCTGTCTTCCACCAACCCCCGGAGTCCACTTAAGCTCACACCAACTGCTTCAGTGACTCCATCTAGCCACCTCATCCTCTGCCGTCCCCTTCTTCTTTTGCCATCAATTGTTCCCAGCATTAGGCTCTTCTCCAGGGAGTCCTTCCTTCTCATTAGGTGGCCAGAGTATTTGAGTTTCATCTTCACTATCTGGCCTTCTAAAGAGCAGTCAGGGTTGATCTCCTCTAGGACTGACCGGTTTGATCGCCTTGCTGTTCAAGGGACTCGTAGAGTCTCCTCCAGCACCACAGTTCAAAGGCCTCAATTCTTCGACACTCAGCCTTCCTTATGGTCCAGCTTTCACAGCCATACATTGCAACTGGGAAAACCATAGCCTTGACTATATGCACTTTTGTTGGCGGGGTGATATCTCTGCTTTTTAGTATGCTGTCTAGATTTGCCATAGCTTTCCTCCCAGGAGCAAGTGTCTTTTAATTTCTTGGTTGCAGTCCCCGTCTGCGGTGATCTTGGAGCCCAGGAAAATAAAATCTGTCACTACCTCCATTTCTTCTCCATCTATTTGCCAGTAAGTGAGAGGACCGGATGCCATGATCTTAGTTTTCTTAATGTTAAGTTTCAAGCCAACTTTTGCACTCCCCTCCTTCACCCACATCAAGAGGCTCTTTAGTTCCTCTTCACTTTCTGCCATTAGAGTGGTATCATCTGCATATCTGAGGTTGTTGATATTTCTCCCAGCAATCTTAATTCCAGCTGGTGATTCATCTAGCCCCACCTTTCTTATGATGTGTTCTGCATATAAGTTAAATAGGCAGGGCGACAGTATACTGCCTTGCTGAACTCCTTTCTCAATTTTGAACCAATCTGTGGTTCCATGTCCAGTTCTCACTGTTGCTTCTTGACCCGCATATAGGTTTCTCAAGAGACAAATAAGATGGTCTAGGCAAGCTGCCTAGAGTTCCTTGAAAGGAAAAAAAACAGGATATGAATGTATTTAAGAAATACTAAGTATTAGTTTTGTGTGTATGTGAAGTGCACCTACAGAGAGATGTATAACAAAATTGCCTTCTCATTTCTGAAGCAGTTTGCCCTCCTATTTCTTTTTATAGGTGGACTGTATTCTACAAGAGTTAGTGTTTAAAAGTGCTTCAAGACTCTTTGTTCTGATCAGATTGTTACGAGTTTATTTGGCAAATTTTACTTAATGCTGGGCTTTCAGCTGGGCATCAAGATTCTTTATAGGTCTGAGAGGCATAAAATACAGTTAGAAAGTTAGGTTTAGCTTAATTTCCCCCCAGTATTTCAAATCTGTATTAATGTATTAAAGTGCACGCATACATAGTGGGTAATGTGTAATCCTTCATCCACTATTCATACCTATCCAGTCCCACAACATATCTGGCGTCATACTTATCATTCAAATGATATATTAGTTTTAAGGCATTGCTTTTGCTCAAAAGCTGTTCATCCCTGAGTAGAGGCAGCAAATTATCGTTAAAATGGTTTTGTTTGGTTTGTGTGTCCATGTGTTCACCACAGGGAACTGGGACAGGGAAAGCAACTATAGAGAAAACATATTCCTGCAAAGCATGGGCAAAAGTCTAGCCAACTTGTTCAGTAGTTGTTCTATGACTATTTCAGGCTTTGTCTGCATGAGTTTAACTGTATATCAGTTCTGATTCTGTTTTTGTCTGCTCTGTAAGACAGCTGGGGATTGGTGCCGATACAGCATTGCCACCCTGAGAATTGAAGACAGATAATGTCCCTGATTCAGCTGGCTGCATAGCAAGAGTATATGTGGATGAAAATCCTGCAAATAGGAGCCAGTCATGTTCTCTTGCTCTTTCTTTTCCGATTAGCATTTCTTCCCTTTCTTTTTGTTTTTTGTGCATTACAAACATTGCTAATCTTGTGCAACCTTCTAGCAGGTGACAATTTTAAAAGATTTATAAAAAATGAAATCTTACATTCCCACTATATGAAGGGAATAGGAGAGCAAATTCCTCCTACTTGAAGATGAAAAGCAGTCCAGGTATCCTGGCAATAACCAGTGTGTGTGGAAAGCACTGCATGAATAAGAAAACGTGCTAGATATGAAAGCATGGGAGAACCAAGCAAAGTAAAGAAAATGCTAGTATAAGCAGCAAGAACCAAAAGAACCAGAAATGTGATGGTTGAGTAGCACTCTGAATCTCACTCTCTCCTGCTCAAATACTATACCTCAGTTACTCCCTTTCTTTCCTTTCTGATTGATTGATTGATTGATTTTTTTCTTTTTTTAGTGTGAGTGGGGGTGGCAGTAGAAATTTGGTTCCCACACAGCTGTTTTGGGTTGGAGACCATATGGGCATTTTCTACTGTGCTGCAACTGCAAAACTGTCCCTAGGCTAGATGTCTAGTTTTTCAGTAGTAGTAGAATTATTTTGGGATTGAGCACATTTTGCTACTCCACTGTGCCATGTATTCTGTGCAAATCCAAAAAAATTGTTGCATTTTTGCCATAAAATGGATGAGAGACTTTCAGATCAAAATCTCTGGCCACACACAGCTTCTGCTTCACCAGCCAGTTTCCATGCTGTGAGCATGAGGTAGCTGCTGAAGGACCCGGTCCCCATTAACTGGTCAAATCTTTTTATTATTTTTATTTATTTATTTAAAAACATTTGTATGCTGCCCAGTTGTGCCACAGCACCTCTGGGTGGCTCAAAGGCACAAGATAAAACACAATAAAAACTAACTACAACATATTAAAATACAGTATCAATAAAATACAGACAAAAATATAAAACAAAAGTTGAGTGGCATTAACTATTAAAATACTTTTTTTAAAAAAAGGCAGGTCTTTGCTTGGCACCAAAAAGAATATAAGGAAAGCACCAGGTCAATCTCCTTGGGGAGAGCATTCCAGATATGGGGAGCAGCCGCAGAAAAGGCCCTTCTTTTCAAGGCCATCCCTCTCACCTCTCTAAGGGATGACTCACACAGGAGGGCCCCCTGCGTAGGCCAGGTAGGCGCATATGGGTGTAGGCGCTTCTTAAGATAACCGGGGCATAAGCTGTTGTGGGCTTTATATGTCAGCACAAGAATCTTGAATTGGGCCCAGACCACAATTGGTCACCAATGGAGTCCTTTTAGGATCGGTGTTATGTGGGCCGCTCTAGGGGCTCCCATCAGCAACTGAGCAGCCCTATTCTGTACCAGTTGTAATTGCAGGACTGTCCTCAAGGGCAGCTCCATGTAGAGCACATTGCAGTAATATATTTTGGATGTTACCAGTGCATGGGTGACTGGTTTCTGACTCTGCCTGTCCAGGTAGGGACGAAGTTGGGATATCCTCCATAGCTGGAGAAAAGCACCTCTGGACACCAAGTTCACCTGATATTCCAGGGACAAACTCAGGTCCAGGAGCACCCCCGAACTGTGGAACCTGTCCCTTATGGGGAGTGTAACCCCATCAAGGACAGGGCAATGCCCCTCCAACCTGTCAGATGATCCCCCTACTAGCAGCACCTCCATCTTGTCAGGACTGAGCCTCAGTTTATTGATCTTCATCCAGTCCATTATCAAGGTCAGGCCCCCGTTCAGGACCTCATTGATACTGATGACATTCACAGCTTCCTGTGACATCAACTTCTGCAGGCTATCTGTATGATGCACGAGGAAAGTAATTTGCTGCACCATCTATTCCTTGTATTTTTGGAAGTGTCAATAGTACTGGCTTGCAACTGACAGTTATTGTTAAAGATTATTTTCTACTTGTGTTTTATTACTACTTTATTTCTATTCATACTTTCAATGGTGTATAGATAGTTTCATTTGGTTGGTGTACATACATATGAAGTAGAGATAGCATACAGAAAAGTGACCTGTATTTCATATTGATACATTCATATACTTTTCTTGTATCTTACCTTATAAAACAAAATAAATAGGAAATAGCTTAAAATGCTAGTTACAACTTGTCTACCATCCTCCAAAATCCTGCTCCATGGAGGAATCCCCTTGTGGATAAAAGATATACAATCACCAATACATTTTTGAACTCAAATATTGCAAAAATGCCTGCCTATAAACCTAGCCATAGTTAGTGAATGCTAAACAGAAAATGATGGCACAAGAGTGAATGGATAACCAGTTCAGGCTGTGATCTCATCTCCATTTTAAAACAAGCTAGTCAAGCCAGTTCATTAGTGCTGCACTGACTTCTGCATTCAGGGCTCTATTAATTACAGAGCATATGTGTCGCTAACCACCGACTTTTTATTTGATATGAGAATTGGACAACATTACTCTTCTGTTAATGCAAACTGTTTAATTGAAAATAAAGTCTTAATTTTATCAGTGGTCAGTTAAAGATATGTGGTGAGTTCACGGGATCAAAATAAGCCGCCAAGGCTTATGTAAGCCAGTTATGGAAATTCTTACGGAAAGGGCTGTCACCTGCCATGATGCAACTAAATAATGGTG